CCAGTTTTCCCTGTAATTTCCAGCCACTGGGCTGTGACCTGTGTTGTTTCCATCTAGCTGTTAAATCCCTGTCCCTTTAAGACTTTCAAAGATCACTGGCTTTTCTTTGTCACAGGGGCATCAGCTTCAGCACCCACTCAGAGGTCTTGCTGCCCTATTTCCCTAGTTTCCAGCCCTCCACGCATGCACTGTGTCTGCGCTCTGTTGCGGGTGGCTGGGGCTGGGTGTTTAGCAGTCCTGGGTTCCCTCTCCCTCCCTTCCTCTGGGAGCTGGGGGGAGGTGTGCTGGGGTCCTGCCGTCCTGGGCTTGTATCTTACCCCTTTCACCAGGCACTGGGCTCTCGCACATGTCAATGTAGTCAGGCTGTTGTCCTGTGTCTTCTGGTCTCTCTTTTAGGATTAGTTGTATTTGTTGTATTTTCAAAAATATATATGTTTTGGGTGGAGATTCCCACTGTCCTACTCACGCCGCCATGTTGGCTCTGCCTCTATCCTCCTTCTGCTCAATTTTAAATAAGACTTTTTTTGTTGTTGCTGTTAGAGAGTTGTATGAGTTCTTTCACATTTTGGATGTTAACCCCTTATCAGATATATGATTTACAGATGTTTTCTCCCATTCCATATGGTGCATTTTCATACTATTGCTTGTGTCTTTTTCTGTGCAGAAGACTTTTAGTTTGATGTAGTCCTACCTGATTTTCAAGATGCTTCCCCAGAAGGTTTATCTATCTTTGAAACCACTCTATTACTTCTTCTTTCTCCTTCTGTGGTCTTATTTCATACTTCCCCTCCCTGCAGCAGTATGCCGCAACCATACTGGCTCTTCTGCCGTGATTTGAAGCAGCGGTGCTCTCCTGAGATGTTCCTCCTGTATTCTTTCTAGATCTGCCTCCCTGATCTTTTTGAGATTGCAGCCCTAAAGACTTCGCTCAGAGATGACCTTTCTGATACCACCTTCAAAAGAACTTGATTTCAATTTCCTTGTAACCCTAATCACCATCTGAAAGTAGCCCAATTATTTAAGAAGTTTTTTATGGTCTCCTCGCCATTGCACATGAGCATATACCCATTAAATGTTCATTCATGAAAGAACCCTGCTTAGAGACTATATCGGTTATCATCCCCGATGGAAACAGATGAAACCCAGCTGGGCGCTGTGAGATTAGTTTAATACGGGGACTCTCCATGAAGGTGTGAGCAGCCTGTAAGGAAACCATAAGGGATGGGGCACAATCTGGAGAGAGAGTAATTACAGTTACCGCAGTAGGGCTGCGGGAATGACGGGGGACTGGAAATTCGTGCAGCTGTGTGGTGAAGACCGCAGCAGGAGGCAGTGTGGGAAGGGTGTTCAGCACTGAACAAAAGGAAGACTACACCATTACACCCTCAGACCTGACAACGTGCCTGAATGATAAGTGTATTTTAGTGCTTGAGCTGAGTCATGTGTCTGGCGTCACAATCCTGCAATTCAACCTTCAATTTCAGAAAGAAATAGCTCATGTAAAACTATACCCTGGATTATCATATGCAATATTTTATGATTTTTCACATGTAATATCACATTATTTTCATCTTAAAATATTATTGTCAGAGTATTTAATCCATTTTCACATGATAAACTGAGATCCACAAAGATAGGGGCTTGCCTACAACGTGAGAGTGACTGTGTCCCCTGGCTGACTAGCATCCTTTGATACATCATTTTAGGTTTAAAATCCACTCAACTGTATAATTCCATGAATATTGGCAGAAGTAAACTCTATTTTTCTTCTTCTTGTTTTTATTCTGCTTATCTTGATTATACATGTTGGAAAGTTCATCAGTAGAAGACACTCAAATCATATCAAGAATCAATGTACATTTGCCTATCCGCTCTTTTTTCTTCTCCAAATGTAGGATTTATTTCAGAATTATATTAAATTAATTAAAGTGTGTGATATCACTGCTGTGAAGTATTTTTACTCTTCTATGAAATGCACAGTGTCTTTTCAGACTTCAGCTCTTATCATCGTAAGCTGTTGCAGTATCTTTAAATACAAATGCTGAAATGTGAAAATGGACACATGAACTTAAGTCTAAGAGCTGAAATAACAGAATATCACATTTCTTCTGCTGGTTGCATTCTACCATGGAAACACTGAGGCCAGTCCTCTGCAAGGTTCTTCCTTGCTGACGATCACCCAATCTTTTTCTGTGTTTGGATTTAAATGTTGGGCAGTTAGTAAACAATGGGCGACTGTAAGAATAACTTTGTGAAAAGGAGATTTTATTCCCCTCAAGGAATTTTTCAACAGACTACAATGTTTAGAGATTCTTTTCTCACATGGAACTATGTGGTCGGCTTCTTTCTCCATAGTGAACTCTTTAAAAAGTTCTACAGATTCCCATTTAATTTCTTTGGTATAGTGGTTCCAAAGTGGAAGTGGTGGTAGGAAAGGGGAAACACAGCATGGCCCTCAGTGGAGATTTTCTACATATATGACACTTTCCTTTCTCTGAAGTCTAACACGTGTCTTCCAATTGAGCAGCATTCTATTAAAAAGGGCTAGAAAGAGCAGATAGGTTGCCTGTCCCATGCAGGAGGGCAGGGCAGTTTGCGATCTTGATGACCATTGTAATAAATCAACAGACAAAAAATCTAGTCTTAAATAAGCGTGATGATGATTATTGGTTCTCTTTCTCATAGCATAGTAATGTTTATGTATACATAAACATTATGTATCTATTTATATATAACATGAAGTAAAAAATTTATATATAGCTTACATTATAAATTTTCATGTCAAAAATGAATTGAGTAAAGTAAAAATTATATATATATATGTATGTATGTATACATATATACATGTAGGAATATAAAGATTTCATATTGGGAATAAACTGAGTAAAGAGAGATCTGGTCAACCGCAGAACAATATAGCGTGCATATGAATTAAAACCAGGCATTTATCTAGAAAATCTAAGCATTCTAAGGCAGTAGGACTAGGCTGCTGAAGTGCAGAGAAGTATCTCAGTTAAGAGACTTGAAAATGAAACATCAGGTATCTGAGCTGAAGAGAGGAAAAGCAAATTTAAAAAAAAAAGAGTGCCAGAACCAATATATAAACAAAGCAGTAGTAGAAGAAAATAGAGGTTGCCTTTTTTGCAAATATTTCCTGCCAAGGGTCAGGATTAGATTGTAGTTAAGGCCTGAATGAGAAACAAAACAGCATTTGGTAAGTCGATAGCGGCAAGTACAGTTAAAAGGAGGTTGTATATTCAGTTTGTGTTTTGGATGCTATACTATGTGTTGACAGTTGATATTATGTTTGTTATTCATATATGCTACATTTTTTAAGAAACAACACAATCAAAGACAGTTGGGTTTAAGACAGATGCTATGCAATCTCTCCCTAAAACCATTGGCTATAGATTGGAATTAGGTATAAAATTTATTTATAATGTTACTTGCAAAACTCCAGAAGGTTTCAGTTATTTCACTATGAATCAATATAAAAATAAATTAGTTCTACACTTATACATAAAGGCAGAAAATGAGTAGATACCTAAATGTGCATATATACTATGTGGTTCATGATTATAAATTTAAATAACTAATAGATTCATTCATTCAGCCAGCCATTCAACTAGTCAGTTGGTCAACCCATTCTTGTTTAGTTCATCTAAATGGCAGACACTAACCTGGATGTGGAAGGAACTTGGTGTCAAAAAGACAAGGTTCCTAAAATGGCAAAGCATAATGAAATCTAAGTGAAAAGTCTGTGGCTAAAAAAAAGGAAAGCTGAAAGATAAAATAACATGTATTTCATATATTTAAGAAAGTAAAGTAACAAATGTATCCTAGACAAAAAAGATAAGAAAGAAGAAAATGACTTTCTTTAGAAATCTCATGCTCAGTGTAAACAATTAAATTTTTAGGTATATATGTATTTATCTATATTGTTTAGTAATGTCATTGTCTTTTAAAGAGGATCATTCTGTATAAATCATGGCTGACATGGTTAACTTACTGAATAAGAGCTGATACATTGTTCTTTAACCACATTCCATTAAGCTGTACAACATTTTGTTTTATGATTGTTACCATAATCTATTTAATTATATTGTAACAACTGCACATTTTGGGTCTGTCATTTTTTAAAAGATACATAATTTTTGTTAGCATAACTTTGCTAGTGAATCTAGATATGAACATTTTCTTCTTGCAGAGTATTTTGGAAAACACAACATTTGTGATATTTATCTTTTTTTTCTACTTAAGGTGTCATTAGAACAGCTTTGCCAAACATGGACAGGGAAGTCAAAGAACAATACCAAGTCCTCATCCAAGCCAAGGATATGGGCGGACAACTGGGAGGGTTAGCCGGAACGACAATAGTCAACATCACCCTCACTGACGTCAATGACAATCCACCTCGATTTCCCAAAAGTATGTCCTTTCCTGTTAAGTCTAAATTAGTGCAGCTTTTGAAAAAAAAAAATCTTACATTTATTGAATGTTATATGAGCTGTAATAATTTTCAGACATTTGGTCTTTGGGAAGCTAATGCTAATGGATAAAATTAAATGACTTCAGAATTTCAATTTTCCATTAGAATCTTACACTGTATGACTTCACAAAAAATAATATAAATGAGTCAATAATTGAAAAATGAGTCATATGCTATCAATTCCTATTAAAGAAAAATATCCAAAAGAAGTTGGGATTTTGCTCTAATTTCTTACTAATTGAAAAAGTAATACAAATATGAAAACTCCAATATAGTTTCACTTGTATTTATGACATATATGCCAACATATTATTTGCTGTATCAATAATTAGCATAAGAATTATTTACCTTCTCTTTAATGATTATATGTTGAATTATTTCATATATTTCTCTGATGACATTACAGTGATGCTACTTAAATTACTTTATTTTATTTTATTTCAGTTTTGCAATAGGTGAAAATTGCTGCAGTTTCTATGATAATGGAATGATTCACACCTGTATCTTCTCTGTAACTCTGTGTTTCTTATTGAAAATGAATACTTCTCACTTGTGTTACATCTAGTTTTCTTTCACAGCATTACATTTAACACCAATCAGTTTCTGTTTGATTTCTGGTACATTTTCAAGGCTTAGTAATCCAGAAACTGAATGATTTTATCACTGGCTGTATAAGGAACCTGATTAAGCCTCTATCTTCTCATTTGTGTGAACAGTTTAAAAAACAAACCAAATGATTTTCCTTTTCTGATTCTAGAAGGAGAGTTTTAGTTAATCTACTAAAATATATAACACTGAGAATATTTAAATGGACATTTTATTCCTTTAGCTGTGTGTTTTTTCATATTTTACTACTTTGTCATTTTCTCTTAAAATCATCAACCTAGATATTCTTAAGGAAATATTTTTACTTAGTGATCAGAAAGTCCAATGGCCAAATGTTATGAGAGGCAATTAGTAATCATCATACTTCAGCAAATGAAATTTATGTGACAAATGGCTAGCAAACGTTGTTATGTTTAATAACACAGAGTACCAGAGGATCACTTCCCTTACTTTACTATCAAATGAAACAGAAAAAAATAATTAAAAAGGAAAAATAAACAGCGCATTTGATTTTTTAGCATATGGCATTAATAAAGAATATGGCCCCAAATCTGATAGCTTTTTTTTTTACTCTGAAGTTCTCATTCCTTCTAATTTAACATAACATTGAAACATAAAGGTATTCTTTTCTTTTCCCTGCCACTCTAAAACCATGCTTCTTAGAACACATTGGCAAAAAAGTGACATGACACATGTTGGATTGTCACCGTTCATCAACAGAAAACTGGAAGGTCAGAAGAAAAATGTAGAGAGGAGCCCCATGATCAAATCATTTTATGCTTGTAATGCATGCATATTTGAACTATAGTCTGGAACTATAACAACTGGGAGATATTTTTGAATCATAAGAAAGAAGAAATTTTTCACATTTTGCATGAGTTAAAAGAGAAATAGAAATAATACCTGGCATGTTAAAAGATACTCTACCTGCTCTCACATAGAGGCAAAATATTTTCTTTGCAAAAGAAATAACGTTTCTTATAATTAATATAGAAACTTCTCCATCTACTATAATCAAGAATATCTGTACAGAATCTTGAAATTTTACATGCTGTCAAAGTAAATTTTACTTACTCTGTTGTCATTTTGATATACATCCTTTAGAGGAAAAGACAATGCATTTGTAAACAGAAAGTCACTTCTTTAGAAGTCAGTGATCTTTTATGCAGAAATATTTCTCATGTGCAGCAATTAAGCTGCAACTGTGGCACATTACAAATTCAAATAATAGCCTTTTGAATGTGAAAGTCAAGAAAACATATATTCCATATATAGATAACTTAAAAGCAAATTCCCTGCAGCTAGCTATACAGTCGTTCATGCCTATTAAGCAATTATTCTGGAAAAAAACTTCTTCCTTCAGTTGAGCTTCATAAGCTACAAGTTTAGTTGCTTAAAAATGAAAAAGATAATTTCTTAAAATTTATTAATCATAATTTGTTTGGGCTTTATGGGTGTACATCGGCATATGTGACATTGTTAACTACACATTTCCATCCATTTTCTGCTCCAAGTCTGTTAGAGATGGAAAGGAAACTTGAATGTCATAGGTATTTGCATCATGCATGTATAAACTGATGCTGTTTTATTGTTGCAAAATAGATGGCTCCTGACATATCAGAACTTCCTGCCAATTTAATATGATGATGCTAGCAATGATTAATTAGTATGTGTCATGTACTGTGCAAAATGATTTGCATGTATATTCCAGTTTGCTATTCTAATGACTTTATAGTATTTACTCAATTTTTGAAATATAATAGCAATGTTATATTATTGATACAAGTTAATAAGACATTTTTAGAACTTAAAAACATGTGCAAGGTTGTGCTGGCAAGAGATGAGAAAAACAAAACCACATTTTAGATAGTGACTTCAAAATTCTTTTTATCAACTCTCCCTTTCAGAGGCCATTTGTCTTGGATGCCTATTTTTGGCCCAAAATGTCTTACATATAACCCAGAAAACTGTCCACAAACAAAAGCATTAATGCCATTTCAGAAATATAAATAATACCTGGCATGTTAAAAGATACTCTATCTTCTCTCACATAGACGCAGTATATTTTCTTGGCAAAAGAAATAACTTTCCTTATAGTTAATATAAAAACTTCTCAATCTACTATAATCAAGGATATCTGTACAGAATCTTGATCTCTTAAAATAAGCTACAGAAAAATGCTGATGATTTTCATTACTTGAAATTTAAATGATAAAGCCGTTGAATAAAGTGATCTAACTTATACATTATCAGATCAAATCAGTGAAGTGATATGGTTCATTCACATTGGACAAAATATTCATACTTCTCCCACATGGTTTCTTTTTTTCTGTGTAATAATATAATGAATATGAAAACAATTTAAATGAAATAATGCTTTCCAATAGAAGGTTAGATAAAAAGAGAGATATGATTTATAGGAAATCTTTATAAAGAAGTATTGTTTCTTTTCCAGTATCATAAGACAGGAAGAGACCTATTAGTATGATAAATGAGTTCAAATGCAGAAAAGAGGACATTAATAATTGTTTCAAGAAAATGTCTTAGTGATAAATAAAGTAGTTATTTAAAGTAACTCTATTTTCAACCAAATACCTGCCAAACATATTTATATTGATTGTTGCTAGCTGTAGGAATCTTGATTCAGTTAATAGTCAATAATACATTATTTTCACAATGTTATGCAATATAAAACATGTAGTTATATCCATATTATACAGTTAGTCAATTTAACAAATATGACACTGGAAAATTTAGACTTCACCCAAGAAAAATTATTATCCTGAAAATACCAAATAATCTCAATAAAATTAAAGCATTAAATGCATTAGTAGAAATGCCTACTGTACAAATACAGATATTTTTTCTTCTTGTTGACATAAGTGATCAGATAAAGATTACAGATATATGCATAAAAATATATATATGTATCTAAATATTCTTTCTTCTATTCTACATTCATGATATAGAAGGAGTGCAGGGTGCCCAGGTTGATTATTATTGAATTATCAAATAAACAAATTTTGATAGCTATATAAATTTAATGTGTTTAATTAAAATGTATTTTGTCTTTTTAACCTGCCATAACTTTTTTGGCATCGAGGTTAAAACTAGCTCTTTTATTGTTTTGAATTTTTTAATATACAGTTGCTAATTTTTAAAACAATATTCATTGCAGTTTTAGTATATAAAGATTTTCATTAGAATCAACATAAACCCAATAATACCCAGATGGGGCCACAAAGTCTTTCTCTCTTAACTTATAATCTTTATACTTGTAAAATGGTAAGCTGTAGACCAAACTTTTTTTGGTACAACTATTCAATAAATCATTTCTAATAAAGAACTGAAGGATAAATGAATTTTGACAATTACTCATATCCAGACATAGAAAATGTACCCTCACATTCTCCCAGGTGTCCAAGTTTGATTGTCATAAGGATGACTGAGAGCAACCACTAAAGATTCAGGTTTCAGGACTGAAATTTATTTATACAAACTGCATACAATTTGAGAGCATACATGCGTACAATCTGAGAGTTCACAACTTTGTATAGATTTTTCTATATCTAAATTTTTATAGAACTGTACACGAATACCACACATTTTTTCAGAGTCATTAAATATCATCTAGTTCTTTGAATGCAGAGAGGCCTTTGAAAAATATTTCTTGTCCGTTGAGTGCAGAGAAGGCACTCTTACTCCCCAGGATATGCCTGAATATGTAAATCTGGTGAGAATCACTTCTTTTCACAATTTTTCTCTGTTATGGTTAAGAGGTGAAATATACAGAATTCTCACATCCCATTTTACCTGGAGACACTGGCTACAGGCTTCCTACCTGCAGATAAAGTGCAAATAACTGATAACAACTCTCAGCATGTTCCTAAATGATGTCTCTGAGGGTGAAGCAAAGGCAAGATTGTGTTCTTTTCACAATCTCCAGTATGTTATCTTAGGTGAAGGAATGAAAAAGCAAAATGGTGGCAATTACTCTGAAAGAAATACCAGAAACAGCATGGCTGAAATGATATGTGTTATGTGAAATCCACTAGCATTTTAATAAGGGTAACTAGATCATCTTCATTCACATATTTGAGGTTAGGAAGATAGTGTGGGTCAACCTGGTTTGCAAAATTAACAGTATATAACATTATTTAATATAGAACTTTGAACTACAAATGCAAGTTAAGGCTTTCCTTAATTGGAATCAGGTGAAGGTTTTAAATAATAATACAAAAAATTGATGATATACTAATATGTGGACATAATTCACTCATATTTACTTATAATTACTCAAGTTTGGTCCTGGTGCTGGTGCTAATTGGCATCA